CATATGCTGCACAGGTAGGTGACTGCCTGACTAGTTGCTTACATCTCTACTCTGATCTTTGCAAAAAAGAGAGAATTTATTTTAAAAATCTGGATTTTGGCATCATAGAATAGTAAGACTGTCAGTGTGATGAGCCCCATTGGAACGTATTGTAACAATAGGTGTAGCACACAGAGAAACTGTGACACTGAAATATGTGCTTAGAAGTACAAATATACAAGTAAAATGCCAAATATTTGTATATATTATAAAGTAATAGAAAAGTAAGGTGGGTACTTCAGTGGTTGCAGGATTGGGAATTACTTACAGAAATACAGATTTTGGTAATAAGTGTGCAAGCATAAAATTATTTTCCAAAGTATCTCAGTGCTTTCACATTTAATAACCTGGCCTGTAGTGAACATTCAGGAAGCAAAATCTACCCAAGTGGCTGGCGATGTGAAAAAGCACCAGGCTCAGGGTGACCATATTTCCTTATATTGGACACTGGACACCTGTTAAAATGACTCTTATTCAAGTGAGCTCAGCAACAATCCATCAGAACTGAGCAGCACAAAGGATCAAATTAATATAAAATCCGTGTTAAGCATAATGAGCTGGAGCCTTCTTACCTTTAGGGTTCCAAAGGGTGAGGGGGACACCTCTCACATGATTAGGTGTCTGGCAAAGCTGACAAGAGATATTAAATATCGGTGAATTGAATAGCTGAGTAACCTTAAGGATTTTTATCGGTCACTCGACTATTCTATAATCCCTAGAGGGAAGCAGACATTGTGCTCCAGCCTCACTCCTGCGGAGCCACTCAGTATCAGAGGCAGCAGTGTTGGGTGTCAGGCAAAAAGCAGCTCCTCTCGTAGACCAACTGCCTGTCACCCTGTGCTGCTACCTCTGATAAAGAGGCAGTAGCATGAGGTGGTAGGGAGGTCTGTAGTCCCAGACCTGGTACGAGCCAGAATTGAGCTGGGCTACCTGCCTCCTAATACACTTTAAATGCAGAGCTGTAACAGGGGTAGGTCCCAGACCTGTTTCAAGCCAGGACTGGGCCAGACTGCTAAAAAATTTACTGGCAAGTGTGTGTGCGGGAAAGGGGAATCTGTGTAGACTATAGCATTAAGCTATCAGCCTTTGCTTATTGGTTAATTGGCAAACTGACTAGACTATTACATCCCTAGAGCTGACCCTGGTGCTCTCCTCTGAGCCCTGTCTGGCAAGGAGGGTGGACATACGCCCTTCTCCTGGGACATGGAATCATATCTCCCTGGGGCAGCACCCCACAGGGGATGGCGGGGATAGCAAGAGGGGGAGGATGCAAACGGCCAATGGCCAGGCAGCAGAAGGAAAGTCACGAGCTGCTGACTGGGCAGCTCTGAGGAAGCTCAGGCTCAGGGCCAACCCCAGGGCGCTTGGACAGCCAGCTTTTCAGTAAGCAGCAGAACACATAGGCCCATTGCCCCCCAGCTGCTCTCCCCCAGGGCTGTGGCTGACCAGACTGCACTGCTGCTAGCCCATGCTGCTGCCAGCCCATGTTCAGCTCTGCCAGCGACTTGCTCAGCTGCCTTCTTGCCTTGGGCTGCAGACCTGTCTGCCCAGCCAATGGCAGGGTGGGAGGCCTTTGGGAGAGAGAATTTCTATCCCTCTTGCTCCCTTCTTGTCTAGCCCCAATGGACATGGCACTTGCCTCCTAAATCAGAGATTGTGGGTTGAAGCCCCACCTGGGGTACAGGACTGTAACCGCCTGAGAAGGAACTGGGAGATATGTGAACACTTGGCAAAGGACCCAAGAAATGGCAGGCTCCATGAGATGGCAGCTGTCTAGACCCATCAGCACCAAATGCTCTGTTAGGCCCAGTTGGGAACATCTGCTGCAGAAGGCCCAGGAGTGACTCAGACTGCCAGCATGAGGCAACTGTGACAGAACTGGGTACATCTGCAGACAAAGCAGATCCTGAGGAGGGGTAGCACAATGAGAGTCAGACTCCATAGGAACGAGGGGGGCTACTTTGGCTTGGCACATTTATAGAGTAGGAAGGCGCTATTCCCTGTCCCTGCTCTCACTCCTCGGACAACATGGCTCCTTGACCTAGGCCTAAGCAGATTGGCTACGTCTACACTAGCATGACTTTCCAGAAATGCTTAAAACGGAACAGTTTTCCGTTATAAGTATTTCCAGAAAAAGCGGGTCTACATTGGCAGGATGCTTTTTGCGATCGGGGCTTTTTTGCAGAAAACACTACTGTGCTGTCTACACTGGCCCTTTTCCGGAACAGTTTTCCGGAAAAAGGACTATTGCCCGAACGGGAGCAGCATAGTATTTCCGGAAAAGCGGCTGATTTCTTACAGTAGATCGTCAGTGCTTTTCCAGAAATTCAAGGGGCCAGTGTAGACAGCTGGCAAGTTATTCCAGAAAAGCAGCTGATTTTCTGGAATAAGTGGCCAGTGTAGACACAGCCATTGGCTGGTACTGCAAGAAGAGATTTGAGCTGGGGGATGGCTAGTGGGTTTCTGTTATTTTCCTTGCTGTACCGGTCTTGGGACAGGTGAATTCTGGGTGTTCATCTGGCTCTGCCAGGCTGTTTCCTCCCATCCCCCAGGAGGAGGTGGGGGGTGTCAGTGTTAAGAGTGGTTGATAAAGATCTGGTGTCTATTTGGGGGATGGGAGCACAGTCAATCAGTTCTTAGGGCCAGACTGCAAATAATGGATCATGTGATGTGTCCTGGATGGAAGTGGGAGGCATATAGGTAAGAAGAGAGGTCAGTAGGTGTCCGGCATAGGCTAGTGTTCATGTGGCCATCAGTGAGTGGTATTGTCATGTCCAGAAGGTGGATTTCTTGTGTGGACAGGCCCAGACACATGTGTATTGCCTCAGACACCTAGGCCCAGCCTGGGCAGATAACGAGGCTCTTTCCAGGGGGAGAGACAAAGGAAGGGAGGCAGAGATGAATACCTGGCTAGGGGGCAGGGTCTGGGAGCGAGGCAGTTTCTGGCTGGGAAACATGAAGGGAACAGACTAAGCTGTGGGGGCAATGGACACCCTAACTCAAGGGATCTGAGGCATCCTGGCCTGGACCCCATATAACCACATCACATCTATGCTGTGTTGCATCCTGGAGAAGCAATAAACCCTCTCTATTCTACTGGCTGGTGGAGTTTGTTCTTGCTGCTATGGGGGCACAGGATCAAAGGGAACCCCAACACACCATCACACTCACCAATGCAGTGTATGGGCTGGTGGAGTCTGTTCTTGCTGCTACGGGGGCGCAGGATCGGAGGGAACCCCGACACATCATCACAGTCACCAACGTAGCGTAAGCAGAGGAAAGGGGCGAGGGGGCGTGAGAGGAGGAAACATTCTAAGTCAGTATACCCAGCAGACGCTGCAGGGATGGATCAGCTGGGGGAGCAGCCACTGGCCCCCCCACTCCCTGCTGGAAGGCAAGCGGCTGGGGATCAGGGATCTGGCAGCAGCAGGACCCACCAGCACCAATGGGGAGGGAGACAGAAACTACAGGACAATTTACCCATTTTTAAGAACAAGAAGGAACCCTGCAGCTGGGCTTAAATCCAGCCCTGTCCCTTTAGCCCAGTACGTCTGCTCCCTAACTAGAGTGTTGGGCAGGAGGCAAAACAACAGCTCTCCCAAGCAGCCCCCAACAACTGAATCGCACCCCCTTGGGCAGCACCTACCTCTTAGGTAGGGAAGAGGTGCCTCCTCCAGGCACTGGCCACCCACACAGCCCTGGAAAGTGGGTCCTGCCATTCCCCAACCTGGCAGGGGGAAATCTTCTGTCCCCTCTTCCGTATTTTTGCAAACACTGCAAATGTCTCCCCTGCCCCACCCCACTGGAGTATTTTTTATTTCCTGGCAAGGCCTGTTCTTAACCCTGCTGCCTGTCCCAATTTTGCCCTTTGGCCCTACAGCCAGTTTTGGGATCTCCCCACTCCTACGGTTAGTTTAGTCCCTGCACAAATTTTGCCTCCCCTGCAATTTCATGCATCATCTTCCTTCCACAAGTAAAGTTGGGGAGCAAGGGCTGCACACACAAATACAAGTGAGAAGGGAAAATATTTTAAACCCTCCCAGTGACATGGCCCCTACCTCCCCACATTCACCAGGGAGTCTCAGGGGTGTCTAGAAAGCCAGAGCAGGATCCCCAGTATTGGAGAGTTCCCAGAGCTGCAGGATCCAGATCCAAGCCGGGCCACAGCGGGTTTCCAGGGGCTGCAGCTAAAACATTTCCCCATGTCATGTTGCATCTTGCCCCATGCCCCAGGCAGTTCCCCTGGGCAACACCCACCCCATGGGCCGGTTTGCAAACACTGCAGATGGGTCCCCCACGCATGGTCAGTTCAGCCCTGGCCTGTTCTTAACCCTTCTGCCTGTTTCAATTTTGCCCTTTGGCCGTGCAGCCAGTTGTGGAATCTCCCCACCTCTACGGGTCAGTTTGGCCCTTGCACAAGTTTTGTCTCCCCTGCAATTTCATGCATCATCTTCCCTCTGCAAATGAAGTGGGGGAGGGGGGAGAGGAGTTGGGACAAGGGCTGCACACTCGAATCCACGTGAGAAGGGAACAATATTTTAAACCCCTTCAGTGACGTGGCCCCTACCTCCCCACATTCACCAGGGACTGGCAAGGGTGTTTAGAAAGCCAGGGCAGGCTCCCCAGTATTGGAGAGTTTCCCTGAGCTTCAGGGCCCAGATCCAGGCAGGCCAGGGGCCGTAGCCAGGCCGCTCGGAGCAGACGCCGAACAGGTATTATCCGGCCCTAGAGCCAGGCCAGGCCGCGGCGGGTTTGCATGGCCAATCCTCCCGGGAAACACCTGCCCCACGGACCGGTTTGCAAACACCGCGGCTGAGCCCCCGCACGCACCTGAGTTGCAGCGGCCCCAGCTGCTGGTCTCACGGTTCGCTCCTTATAGCGCGCGGCGAAGACGCTTACGAGCGGAGCATGCGCAGTAGCCGCGACTGAGGCTGCTACCCTCACTCTACGGATCACTTGCCCGCGCGAGGTTCCAAGGGCAGGGGGATGGAACGCCGGGTGCGCGGCTCGGCTCGGCTCATTTCGCCTCACCCTTTTCCTTCCTGCCCCTCCTCAGGTAGGAGGCGGTATTTCC